AAAAAAGAGTACTCCAATTGAGGGAATAATTAATAAAATTTGTAATATTTATTTGTACAAAATATTTTTTTTAAAGGGCCTCATTTAATTTTTTCGATTAGAGCCCCAATTTCTTTCTTGGCAGCTTGATGAAGTGAATCTTTTATATTAAAATTTTCTTGTTTACCTACTAGTCTTTGAAGTACCCTTGACTAGGGAGGTCAATAATCACACCAACCTCTACGAAGGCAAATTAAGAAGGACTTGTACGGTAGAACAGTTGTTGTCGATGCAACTTAAAAGGATCTTTTTAGGTGGTATTAAATAAAAATGTATTTAATTAATATTTAATATATTTATAGTGGTAAATAGCCGGGTTTTTTTTATTAAGTCCACATCAACCCACTAATTTAATGAGTCTAATAAATCCATCCATATATTACTAATTTATTATTTTTTTTTGATAAAATTTAAACCCTCGAATATGGTATTATATATCCACTTTGTGAATCTTGTCACAATTGCTAGTCTTTTGCTGAACAGTAACACTAGATTGACCAAATTTTAGGACTAAATTTGAAGTCCAAATAACATGACAGCTAATTATTTAGAATTTTAGGACCCAAATGACATGACACCAATGAGAGAAGCCCATGTCAGCTGTCATGTCATTTGAACTCCAAATTTGATCAGTCTAGCATTATTGTTTGCTGAAAGAGTTTGTAATTTTCGTTATTTCCTTTTTTCAACTAAGTCCCATGAAGCGAAATTTAGGCCTCATGTAGCCGACCCTTAAACCTAAACCTAAACTCAAATCAAACTAAGTCTTATGTCCTGATCATTTAGGATCGGTTATATTATTGGAAAAAGTTGGATGTAAATAAAGTGAATGACAGGGTGAGGCGTAGACTAAGTCGCGCCCTTTTATAAAAGAATCACAATGCAAAAGGCAATAACGTATCGTCCCCAAGATACAACAGTTCAGCCTATTGACTATTGCTTCACTCAGATTTGCACAATCGAATGAAGCAGAAGCTTCACACACACCTTTGAATATTGCCCAGGATACTAGTCCCACCCATACGCATATGAGAGTCCCAAGATCTTTCTTTAATTCAAAGATTATATAACATTAGTATATATATATACTCAAATACCTTTAGATATTTAATCGATGTGAGATTGAGTTTCCACACATAAAAAACATTCTTTTAGTTAAAATATTCTAACATATATGAGTCCATTTTCGCCATTTATTTTCGATCATGTATTATACGCTCATTTCAGTTAAATATTTTCATATATTTTCTTATTATTTGGTTCAATGTTAATTTAGGTTTACTCTTACTTCTAGGGGTGTCCATGGGCCGGATTACCCATAGGTCCCGTTACTCGGCCCGAAACCCGATAGACTCAATAGTTGGTCCGCTCAAACCTGAACCCAATATCCTTAAAAGGAAGATTTGGTTTTGCCCTCAAACCCATTACCCAGCCCGAAACCCACCCATTTAGTCTAACCCGCCCACATAGCTAGTCCACCATTCTTTTGAAAAAAAATTATACTTTTAGACCATTAAATTTGAAATTTTGAAATAAGTCTCCCAATATCGAAATTTAAAATTTAAAAAATTTAGATATTATAAATAATGTATTATTTTATTTTTCATGTATTAAGCATATAAGTTTTATAGGGTAGATTAATGCAAATAATAGATAAGTGAATAGGTGTCAACTTAGTTGGAATGTATAAATTCTATTGGATGTAGTTTATCCCCTAATTAAAAATAAAATTATTCATTATTTTATTTTTATCTATTTTGACTCTATGTTTGATTCAAAATATAATTTACACAAATATTAAGTTACAAAAATATTTAATATTTTTAAATAAAGTTGTATATAAAAAAAGTCCGAGAGCAGGCCCGCCCGCCTGCCCACAGGCTCGTCCAATAGACTTGCAGGTTGGGTTACATGTAGCCTACCCCTACTCGAAGTTTATCCCAACCTGCCTGATAACTCACTTAGGTAGGGGTTTGGACCTACACTACCCAGGTTCAATTTGGCCCATGGACACCCCTACCTACTTCTAGTACCATTAAGAGAGCTTATCTCATTTTTTCAAACCTGTGCCTCTATCGTCCTTCGTTAAACATAATCAAACCATCTTATTCTATTTTCTTTAACTTATCCTTAATTGGAGTTATTCCTATCATTTCTCTAATAAATTCATTTCTTATTATATCCTTTTTAGTTTTTCCATACATTTACTTTAACATTCTTATTTCGGTAACACTCATTTTGTCACTATGTTGTTTCCTAGTTGTCTAACATTCTGACCCCATACAATATTATTGTACTTATACCTTTCGATAAAACTTACCTTTCAGTTTTATTGTTATCCTCCTATCACATAATATGTCAGAGGTTTTCCTCCACTTAAGTTAACTGACATTGATTTTATGAGTTACATTATCTCCAATCTCTCTTTAATTTTTAATGATCGATCCTAGATATCTAAATTGTTTACTTATTGATATTTCTTGATTTTCAATCTTAACTTTTTTACTATGTATACTCCTTTTATTATTAAAATTGCATTGCATATATTTAGTCTTGCTCCTACTTATTTTAAATTTTTTCCACTCGAGTGTCTCTCTCCAAAATTTTAAATTATTGTTAATCCCCCTTCGAGTTTTGTCCACTAATACAATATTATCTGTAAATAGCATACACCGTGGGATATCATCTTAAATGTGTCTAGTAAGTTCATTCATAATTAGGGCAAATAGGTATGGACTTAGGGTCGATCCTTGGTGTAATCCTACCGTGATTGGAGATTCTTTACTTTCTCTCACGGAATACCTAATTGTAGTCATAGCCCCGTTATACATGTCATTTATCACCTCGATATACCTATCCATCACTTATTTTCTATCAAGTACCCTCCATATTATATTTATAGGTACTTTATCATACGCCTTTTCTAGATCTATAAATACCATATGAAAATTTTTCTTCTTCTTTCTATACTTTTCTATGAGTGTTTTTAATATTAGAAACCTATATTGTAAAATATTACACATTAATGGTATATGTCCAAGCAATCAACATAATTTATAATCCTTTTCTTTTTTATTTTAGTTTAATGGTTAGGGGTATTCAGACCAACTTACGTGTATCACGTCAAACACTTTCCCCAATCTGATCAAAGGCAGGTCATCTTTGTCGATACTAAGGTATTGCTGAGGAATAATTCTTTCATGATCTAACCTCAAGGAATTGCCAAGATTCGAACTCATGAGGTTTAGATTTACAACTAGTCCATATTATCCATCCCTTTCTCTTGCCCTCACCCTTCGGTCTCACCTCCAAATTTAGGGAAGTTTGAAAAAAAATTATGATATGTTCTTAAGGTGATAAAAATTAATTTTTCAATAGTTTTAAATTAGAAATGGGTGAAGCTATTCTCACCCCAAAAATATTCATTAATTCTCATCACATTTAATTTTTTATTATCAAACTACCAAATCTATATCTATCTATATTTATTTATACTACTAATAAGCATACCTTAATATAAACAAATTTTAATTCACTATTTTGACCTTATAAAAAACTATAAAGACTAACATATCTTTTTGTGTTTAAATATATAACTTACCATTGTCATGCTAATCTTTCTATCTTTATAAAACATTTGAATGATTATGTTATGCTTAACATGATATATAAAATCCACATTATTCTTTTTCTCAAAACCTCAATATTAATACACGTTGACAACTCTATTGATACAACATCATCTCCAATACTTAAAAACAAATCTATTTATCTTATATCTTTAATCACAATCAAAATAATTTACTAAAAAATTATTGATGTACAAAGAAAAAATAAGAAAGAAAAAAAATTGAGAAAATAAAAATCTATAAACCTTACTACTTATTAGTTTGAATGAAAGAATCACAAAAAATGAGTCAATTGGATGTTTATAGTTATGAAAAAAATTCAAACAATTTAAATATGATAAATATTAGATAGTATCTAATGTACCTATATAATTAATTTTTTTTTATTTATTTGATCAAATATTTCAACAAAAAATTTAAGTAAGAAAAGAAAATAAAAAAAAATCTATCAAAACCCAAAAAAAATAACAAGAAAAAAAATCAAGAAAGGAAGAAACAAAGAAAGTAAAAAAAGAAAATCGTCATTGAAAAAGTAATTGAAATAGCTTTTACTGCCATTTTTTAAAACAATCTGAAAGCATATATACATGCACACATATATAAACCCTAAATAAAAAACTATTAAATTTGACAGAGATACCAAAACACAACAAAAATAATAAAAATTCACACAACACACATGAAATCAAATATAAAATTAAATTAAGAAATAATACTAACTTGTATCTCATTAGAAAAATTCATATTGAAAAAGTACATTGTGAGTGTATGAGATGGGGTAATGAATGAAACCGTGAGAGGATATAAGGTGTACTTATTAAAGGGGTGTATGTAGTATGAAGTGTGGTTAGTTATTAATGGAATGCGTATTGAATGGGTGAATTTAGTAATTTGATAATAATAAATTAAATAGGGTAAGAATGAATATTTGTAGGGTGGGAATAACTCCACCCATTAGAAATAATTAGTTAGTTAGTTGAGGTGGTTGTGTCCTAATATGACCATTGGATAGGATGCGACTCTTATAAATTTTTCGAAGTTTTAAAAAATAAAAAGATTTTTTCAAGTCTTCTCTCCGGTAAGTTGATTATTGTATGTATATGTATCAATAGATATAATTAGCATGGTTGAAATTGATCAATATGAAATGTGCTACATCAAATCCAAAAGGAACCAGATTCCAACAACATGAAGGAAGAGAAATGAAGGTGACTTGAAAGGCCATGGAGAGGTCAAAAAGCAACAGACCACAAGTATAGCTTTATATAAAAGAAAGCCTAAAGCAAACACAAACACAAACACAACGGCAAAGAATATTAATAAAGCTTCATGATCTTATAATGCAAATTAATTACCAACAAATCACCAACCAAACCATCAAAAAACTCTGAGCTTCTCTTCATTTCTGGTGTTGAATTTTGGATTTGATCATCAAACAAGACAAACCCAAGTTACAAATTTGTTGAAAATTCAATATGGAGAGCACAAGCACAAAGGTAGAGTTTATGAAGCCAGTGCTCCTCAAAGCAGGACTTCCTCTAGCCATTTCTGTGGCTGGTTTCATTATTGCTAGGATCACAACAAGAAAAACTGCAGTTCCGAAAGCTTCATCCCCAGAAATTCAGTCAAATAGTCGAATAGTAGTCGATCGTCCCGAGTATGGGGATGAAGAGAGCATTCATAGCCTTGATTCAACATTTCTATCCTGTATGGGGGATGAAAATATTTTGGTAGACACCCTTTACAAGAATTCGCTTGAAAGTTTGCAAATTTCGAATAGATGTGAACTAGAAGACGAAATTTTAGGCCTCAAAAGCCGATTAGAAGATCTTCAGGAGAGAGAATGGGAATTAGAGAGGCGATTTCTTCAATATCATGACTTGAAAGATCAAGAATTGGTGCTCATGGAGCTACATAACAAGTTGGTTTTGGAGATAGCTAGAGTTGAGTTCTTTGGTAGGGAGGTATCACTGATGGAGGCAGAGAACAAGAGGCTTGAAGAAATTGTCCGCGAATATGTGAAAGTTCTTGAGCAGCTTGAATTCTCAAGATTAGAAAATGGATTGCTTCACAAGAGGGTAAGAAAGTTTTTGAGAAAATTGAAACAGAGTTTGTATGTTATAAGGGAACATAAATTGAAAATTGAAGCTAGAGAAGCAGTGAGTTCAAGAAATGATGAGGAATTAGAAAGAAAGGCAGCTACCATCAAGGCTTTGGAGGGTGAAAATAGGGAGCTGAAAACTGTTGTGGCGGGACTGCAGGAGGAGAAAAATGAACTCCTGAACAGGGTTGAGTTGGCAGAAACATCAGCTTCATCAAAGGTATAAATATTCCTCAGCTTGTCACTAGAGGACATACGATATAAATCAAGAACCAAATAAAGCTTCCTAAATTTGATTTACCTTAACTTCGTCCTCTAACATTTCATTGGCATGGATGATACATAATGTTTCAGAAACTGAAGAGAAATTTTTTAAAATTTTGATTGCAAAACATTTGAAGAAATGTGTTGAAATACTGAAATATGAAAATCTCATTTTCAAAACACGGACTCGTGTCTATTTTCACAGAAACCACCCAAACGTTTCAGTCCAAATGACTAGAATACAATGAAATCTTGATCATTGGTTATTATTGGACTTTGAATTGAGATACTTCTAATAATGGGATTCCAGCCTCCTTTCTTTGATAGTTTACCTGTTCTTCAGATTGAAGCAAAAGGGATAACAGTGGAGGTTTACAATCAGCTAGTTTGTGAACTAAAACAACTCCAAAATGATAGATCAACTGAAGTTAAAGAACTGATATATTTAAGGTGGTGCAATGCTTGCTTGAGGCATGAACTAACGAGGATGAATCAAGAACAACTGGAAGAGAGGAAGAACCAATTGGAGCTGGATTTCAGTGGAAGCAGAGAAATTGAAGCTTTTGAATTCGACCATGAATCGGATGGTACCATTTCGGGGCACGTTGAACCTTGCTTTGACTCGAAAATTGGTCATCATACCCACGCTCATTCAAAAAGGCGAAATCTGAAGTTAATTGAGAAGTTCAAGCAATGGGTGGAAGGGAGTGAGAAGAGAAAACAGAATTTAGATGAGAAAGAGCAGCATGAATTCAAATGTTTTGGAAAACATTCTGTTTCTGATAGTGCAAAGGAAGGACATCTTCCACCAAGGAAGTCATGTTCTAGTGCATAATTATATGTTCTTCATCCTTTATATAAATTCGTATTTGCATATACTTTCCTGGAAGCACTATGGTTATAAAAACTGTGTTGCTTTGACTTACAATTTTATTTCCTTTCTTTTATAAGGAAAATCGACCTAACCATACATACTCTAGAATCATAATTGTAATGCAATTGCCTACAAAACACGTGCATTGAATTTCTCGGTTGTCATCTAAACTTGGTTCACTCAATTCAAGTTTTTCCATATAAAAGAAATTGATTCATACAGTGAGAACTCATTAAGTGAATTTGAGTATGGAGTAGGTGAAAACATTCATAATGCATACGAAGAACTTCTTAAATAAAAAATGATATATTGAACCCGAGTTCAACTATAGTAAAATGACCCAAATTCAAAATGTGCGAGTTTATACGCATCTCTTGTTAGATGGCTGTTTAAAATTTACTCTTGAATAAGATAGAAAAAAAAAATTATAAATTTCAATTCAATATGAAATTTGACCTTTGACAACTGATAATAGATGTGGTGATTCCTATATCCGACCCGAATAAGTTGGATAATATTTTGTTGAGTTGGGCCAAGAAAGGCCCATTCATCCTTGCTTCGGCTCCAGTGGCATCCCATGTGGATGGTGTTGAGTATATTATCCTCTCTCATTCTCTCTTTAGAACACATCATAACCGATTTCTTTGGTTCTCCGTTAACGGTCACTCCATCTGACTCCATGGAACTCTCCCTCCTCCTTTACCAGCCTTCCAAACCCTTGCTCCATTGCCAGTCACTCATCTCTATTTCCATCTCAAGTAATCTCTCTCTCTCTCTCCGTTGACATTATTTTTCATCTGTTCAAAGAAACTAATGAATTGTTTTGAATCCACAGGGAAGAGGCTCCCCAACAGAAATGCATCTCTGTTGCCATGTCGCTGCTCATCAACTTCCTCAGGGGCCACAGCAAAACCGGAAACGATATCATTACAACAGGAGGGAAGGAGGGCATTGTTGGGTTGTTTTCTCGCTGCAGGTTCAGTTTTCTTGCTTTATTTGAACCAGTGTTATCTGATAATTAGGGTCTACCAAAACTGATGATAATTACATGGAATCAAGGATCAATTCTATGGAAAGAATTAAAATTTTCTTCTACTCGACTTTTTTTTGGTCGGAGTAGTTAAACATTGGCTTAGGAGCAAGATTTTCCAATTTCACCACCCAATGAATCCGATTCCCTTCCCTTTGGTCCAATGGTACTCTTTGTCTTGTAAAGGCTTTGCCTTGTTGAGCTCAAGGTTCAAGTCCCCCTTCCCCTTCCCCTCCCAAAAAAAAACATCCGATTCCCTTTAGTGTTTGATAATTTGTATGTTTTTCAGTGTCAATAGACAGACTAATTAGTTAAGCTTATCGTTTATGTGAGAGGAAAGCTGAATGGAGGATATGGTCTTATAAAGAATGAGTGGGAGAAAGAGGAATTTGTTTGGATAACCCCAATTAATTTGGACTAATGATTTGACTAAAATGATGTAAATGAAATGATTAAAACGTTAGGAAAATCTAATAAATTTGTTGTTTACTGTGTAATTGAAAATGGTGACATTGGATTCATGATGGGCTGGGAATGGATTGTATAACCACTATTAGTGGAAAACCTCGTTTCTTCTTCTTTCATCATCCTATCCTTTCCTGAAAGATTTGGCAATGGAGACAGGGACTTGTTTTCTCCCCTTTCTCTTCCTCCTCTTCCTCCTTCTCTTTGTAGCCTTATCTCAGCTATCCGGTGATTGCAAAATGTGTTCTCTTTCTACTTTACGGTCCATCTCAATACATATTTCAATGCTGCAGCAATGAAGTTCATATTTGGGTTTTTCGTTTGGTTCAGCATCTCACATTTCAAGAATATGAAAATAATACTAAAAGAACTTACATGTTGGAGGATGAATAAACAAAACAAAATGAGGAAAACCTGACACAAACCAGAAGATCCTAATTTTTTTTAATGTATGGATTCAATTCCCAGTGATGTAGTTGGTCATCAAATGTTTGACCTAAACACATAATTGGTGCCTGTTGAGCAACCCATTTTTGTAATGAAATAGGCAGCAAGTAAGAATAATATTTAACATTATGTTGTTGAATGCACACTTTCATTTGCTTCTATTCCCGGAATAGTCTTGATAGGGGGACCTAATCGAATGGTTTAAAAAACGATTACATATCAAACAGTTGATTCCACTTGTCCAAAACCTTACTAAGTAGTTCCATTCCGAAGTTGGGAAGCCATCACCCCATGATTGACACTTATTAAGACGGTATTCTTTCTCCATTTTGTTTCTATCAAGTGACAGGGCTTCGTTCTAGTACTATTAGCAGTCACTTCATATAATCGTTTTGCAAACTATATCAACTGAACCCGTTTATCCTCTTGTCTCCTTACTTTGCTAGTTATAGTCCACTTTTACTCAAATGCACTTTGGTTTTTGTTCCCCGCCTTTTATGGTTTTGTTCCTTGGTTTTCATTTGCAGTTTCACTGATTTTACTTATTTTGTTCATGGATGTGTCACTTCTTAACTGGCTAATTGATGTCTTTTTTTGGGGATAATTGACTAACTAACTCCTATCATCTGTCAGCTGCTGGGATTTGTGTTTGCGATGTGGCTGGTGCTGTTAGCTCAAGTAGAAGAGCTGTAAGATTTTTCTTATATGGATTCAATCATATATTACTTGTATTTGATTCTTCTCTTTCGTAAACTTTTATTGCTCAAATAGTGAATGATTTGCTTCCTGCAGCTTCGAGGATCAAAAATACCTGAGAGTGAATATACAACTCTCCCTAATGGTCTAAAGTCAGTATAGTACGCTGACCTATATCTTTCACATATTTGACTTTCATGTAGTTTGTTTCCACATACCTTTGCCTTGCTATGTTAACAAATATGTGTGTGTGTGCGTGCACGAATGCTTATTTATTTACATATTTGGTTCATAATATCTTCCAATTTTTTGCTTTTGGTGCTTTAGACTCTTTATGTTGTATGTAATTGTATCTCCTTACATGTTGTGTCTGGCTTCAATTTAAGAAATGTCTTTCTATTTCAACACTTTCAAAAATTCTTAAGGATAAAATTTGTTCTTAGCATGGGATTTCCGAGTTGAAAATTATATGGTTTTGCATAGCATATATAAATTTTTCAATGTTTCAACTCGTTACCTTCTAATTTTGGTGTTATTTTATTCATGACTTTCCTTCTAGAGGCAGTATTTACATTTGTGCATATGTTCCCTTATTTTTCAAGAAGAAAATATTTACTCTTTTAAGTTTTTTATGGCAATATTATTCAGGTATTATGATTTGAAGGTTGGAGGTGGACTTAAAGCTATGAAAGGATCTCGCGTTGCAGTACGGTTGTGGCCCAGTTAAATTTTTGATTTCTGGCTGCATGGTTTAAACTTTCTAGAAGCACATATGTAACCATAAAATGTGGATACTGAGCTCTGTAAAAATTCATTGACACGCACTGACTTAGTTCAGGATATCTGTACTTCTTCCTTAGATTCGTTTCTGTTTGCAAATTCTTGCCCTTTATGGTTTCTTTCATTTTTTCCCGAAAATGTTGATAATTGTTCTCTTACATTTGAAGTGTTCATAATTGAATCTTCTGAAATGACATTCAATTGCTGTTAGGGCCTTCCTTTAAATCAGTACATTATGTTTCAAAAACGAATGTAAATACTGAAGAATTTCGACTGAGAGAAGCTCAAAAAGACGTCTTTTACTCCGGGATACACGCTTATGTTCGCCACAATCGTAACAGTGTCTTTAACTTTAGAACAGATTCTGAGTTGATTGTCTTATTCTGGCTCTTTATTGCTGCAAAAATTGCTTGATTCATGTGTGAACAGATAAAAGTAACTCTGTGAACTTCAGGTCCCAAGGATGTTATCTCAGGGTTGTCCAAAACAGAATATTGAGAAATATTATCAAAGTACTCTTTGAGTTTTAAAATTTATCAACCAAGAATCACAAGTCTCTTTGTGGAAGTGAAAAGTGTATATTTGGTATCACCAGGCTCATTGTATCATTTGGGAATCATTTGAGGGTAAGGCCAAACGATAATCAATTAGACTACAAAAAAATTGAATGGGAGGAGATAGGGCAATTGGATACTAAAATGATTTTGAATTGGTAAACATTTGGTTCCATAAATATGTAACGAGAGATGTGGCATATTGTATCTGGCAGCCAATGAATCTTTCCATTTCCAGTATGGAACTTGGTAGTTTGTGCAATTTCTTTGTGTTCACACTACGATTGTTTTCAAATAGTCATTGCTATTTAGTGTTTTGACTTCTGGGAATATTAGGTTCCTGTGACTAATTTTCTTCACAGTAAAGTGGACTAAATGGTGTTAAATTCATGTTGTAGGTCCACTATGTTGCTAAATGGAAGGGCGTCACTTTTATGACTAGTAGACAGGGGCTTGGTGTTGGTGGTGGAACGGTAAGATTAAAGTAGCACCTTGTATTCCACATTGTTGTAATAATGTTTACTAAGTCACCAGCCGTGAAAATTTGTGGTTGGCCATCATGTCTTGACTCAAAATTTTAATACTACTTCTTGGCCTTATTGTCACATTTCTTTGCAGATGTACCGAACAAATTCTACTGTTCTTTAATGCACTTGTTCAAGCCCACTTAGACTCCACAATCCAATTTTCTCCTCTACCAGTGATTAGTCCAAGAAAAGTGGAGAAAACCTCTTGTAAACCTATCTCTATCTGCTCATGACTGCATTGATTCTCCAAAATTTGTGTTGTATAATCAGCTTTAGGACCATTTTACATATTTTACATCTCATTTCATTGCGAAACAATCACACCAACAACAAGATGCACCTTGCCTGCTTGTCTTCATGGCCTAATTTTATAGGTAAAAGCATCTTGAGTCCTTGGTCTTTGTTCCACATGACTGTTGTGCTTCTTATGTTGGCAGTGAGAATGATCTTTAATTTAATTACACCGAAACCAAAAATAAAGGTGATTGCCCCAGCCATTGACCATCTTTTGATACATATCGATGGTAATGGGAGAGGTAGAGGTAGGCTAAAATAACTGTGAACAAATAGTAAAAAAAAGATTTGATAGCTTATGGTCTAATAAAATATATCCTTGGTAGAGTGAAATAGAGAACCAGGATTCATGTAGCCAACCTCAAATAGTTGGGATTAAGGCTTTGTTGAGATGAGTATTGATCTACTTTTGTCATGATTCCACATAGTATCTTTGTGATGACAACAGATCTTAAATACTCTATTTTTTGAATAAGTTTGTCTTGCAAGTGGTCATCTAAACAGTTGCACCCACGTTCTAGTACATAACGTAGTTATATTCATGTTTTGAGATTTAACTTACTGATTTTAGGGTATGCTAACTTTAAAATAGAATTATTTTATCTAAGTTGCTTTAGGTGGCTCTATGACAAATACAAGGTATTTCTTTTGATTCAATTTTTCAAAAAATAAATACCACGTCGAGAACAATCCCTTGTCACCGAGATTTCGAATTCTTCACCCAGATAGGTGTTGCATCTTTTGGATATGATCTATGATAAGTGTAGAGGATTAACATGATATTAGAGAGATATAGAGAGAGGTTAAAACTTAACCTAGCTCTTATACATCACTTGTATTTATAATTAACTTACAATAATTAAGAAAGACAAATACACCCTCTTATATTTACACATAATACCCTAACACTCTTAATAATTTACACATAATACCCTAATACTCTTAGCACTCCCCTTCAAGTTGGACTATATATATCATATAATACAAGGTTGGAATAAATTGCTGTAAGACGTGTACGACTCAATGCTTTGGTAAATATATCTGCAAGCTGGTCTTCAAATTTCACAAATGAAGTCGTAATCTCCCCAGCTACTATCTTGTCCCGAATGAAGTGATAATCAATCTCAATATGTTTGGTTCTCTCGTGAAACATTGGATTGACAGCGATATGGATAGCTGCCTAGTTGTCATAGAACACTTGTAAAGGAGGTTGAACTGGAAATCTAATTTCCTGGAGGAAGTGTCGTAACCAATTCAACTCACTCGTTGTATATGCCATTGCCCTATACTCAACCTCAACATTGGATCTTGTTACCACGGATTATTTTTTACTTTTTCATTAGACAACGTTATCCCCTAAAAAAGTAAAATAACCAGTGGTTGATCTCCGATCAGAAGGAGAGCCAGCCCAATCAGCATCTGAGAAACCTTCCACTCTAAGATGTTTATTAGCTTGATATAATAGTTTAAGTCCAGGAGCACGTTTGAGATATCGCAGAATATGAGTAACTGCCTCCCAATGTGGTACTCTAGGACACCCCATGAATTGATTTGTTATACTGACTGCATAGGAAATATCCGGTCGAGTAATAGTGAGATAATTGAGCTTTTCAATCAATCTGTGATACCGACCCGGATTCTCAAACAGTGCACCATCATCCTTCAAAAGTTTTTGATTTGAATCCATAGGAACATCAAACGGTCTGCTACCCAATAAACCTTCTTCCTCTAGTATGTCAAGTACATATTTCTTCTGGGATAAACAAATACCCTATTTAGATCGAGTCACCTTAATACCTAATAAATATCTGAGTTTTCTCAAATTCTTAGTATGAAATCGATCTTGCAAGAAGATTTTTAACTTGTCAATCTCCTCAGAATCATTTCTAGTAATTATAATATCATCTACATAGACCACCAATAGAACATATCCAACATCCATCTGTCTATGAAACACATAATGGTCTGTCTGATATCGAAGAAGACCAAACTCTAAAATTGCATCTGACAACTTACCAAACCATGTCCTCGGTGACTGATTCAAACCATACAAAAATTTCTTTAACCGACATACATTCTTACCATACTCCCCTTGAGCAGTAAACCTAGATAGTTGCTTCATGTATACCTCTTTAACAAAGTCAGCATGTAGGAAGACATTCTTGACGTCTAACTGAAACAAGGACCAATCAAGATTAGCAGCCAAAGAAATCAAGATACGAATAGAGGAAATTTTGGCAACAGGAGAGAAAGTCTCCTCATGATCAACACCATATGTCTGAGTAAAGCCCTTTGCAACAAGCCGGGCTTTGAGACGCTTTACAGAACCATTCGGATAAAATTTAACAGTATACACCCAACGACAACTAACAGTTCGTTTACTAGGAAGTAAAGGAACGAGATCCCAAGTCCCATTATGATGTAAGACATCCATCTCCTCTATAGTTTTCCTCCAACCCGAATCAGATAATGTATCTTGTAAATGCTTAGAAATAGATATAGTGGATAATTGAGAGGTAAAACAAGAGAATGAAGGAGATAAGGAATCATATGAAACAAAATGAGCAATGGGGTGATCAGTAACACACGAACGAGTATCTCTCCGAAGAGCAATAGGTAAAAAATCAAGATCAGAAGAACTTAAATTACTTGATGTACCAGGATCAAAAGGAGGTAAGGAAGATAGTACGGGCACCTCAGTCGATAGACGAGGACGACGAGAGTATACACGAAGAGGTAAAGTAGGTGGAACACATTGGGTAGTGGAATATCTAAAGATGGTGGTACAGGAGATGACCCTAAGTCCAGATCCAGAGGCTGAGAAGGTACTGAAAAATATGGAACAAATTTTTACACGTGACATCGGCACTAGTAAAGTATCATCACAGAGAAGGACTGTAGCAACGATACTCCTTATGCGTGCGAAAGTAACCAAGAAATACACATTTGGTAGCTTGAGAGTCAAGTTTATCAAACTCAGGACCCAAATTATGAATATAATAGACACATCCAAAAACCTTAGGAGTTAGTGAAAATTTTGGCTTACCAGGAAAAAGGACAATATGAATTTTGCCTATTTAACATAGAGGATGACATACGATTAATAAAGTGATAAGCAGTAAGAACAACATCACTCCAAAAATATCAGAGAATATTCATCTAGAATAATAGGGCACGGGTGACTTCCAACAAATAACGATTTTTGCATTCAACAATATTGTTTTGTGGAGAGGTGTAAGTACAGGAAGTCTGATGAATAATACTAGTTTTACTAAGATAAGCTAAAAAAGGATCAAATTTATATTCCCGAGCATTATCAAAACGTAAGATACGTATATGACAACTGTACTGAGTTTTTATTTCCTTACAAAATATCTCAAATATAGAGAATAATTCAGATCGAGCTTTCATCAGAAACAACCAAATCACAAATAACATAAAATAAGGATATTTATTATATGAAATATTCTTTATTGGATCTCATACATCAGAATGTACCAACTCAAATGGACTAGACACACGATTATTAACTCTAGACTGAAATGACACACGGTGATGCTTACTAAGTTGACAAGTTTCACAAGACAAAGACGACACATAACTAAGATTAACTTGATGCTTCAGATTTTAGAGAGAGGGATATTCAAGACGACAATGCCATTGAAAAGGAGACAACGAGGTCTGTAGGGCCCGAGTAGGCCACCAGCTTCATGTCCCGTACCAATCTTCCTCTTCGTCTTGATATCTTGAAAGACACAATAAGAGGGATAAAATGTTACAGAACAATTGAGAGAATGAGTAATCTTGCTAATGGAAAGTAAATTAAAATGAATCTGAGGAACAAATAACACGGAAGATAAGGACATATTAGGACTCAAGTGAGTAGTCCCCAAACCTGAAACTTTAGAACAAGTAGCGTTAGCAAGAGTAATACTATGTGTGAAAGTAGCAGATTAATAAGTAGAAAAAACATCAGACGCACCAGTCATGTGGTCAGAAGTGTTAGAGTCTATGATCTCGAGACTACAAGTGGAGGACAATAAATAAGTGGAAGCAGTACCTGACTGGACAAAAGTAGCAATGGAGGGAGATGAAATAGCCAGTTGCTGGGACAGTAACTGAGCATACTCCTCTCATGTAATAGTAACCGACCCAGTGTCTGGTGGAGCTAACCGAGGTATGGAAGCAACAACAGAGATGTCGTCCTGATAGGAAGCTTGATTCGCAGCACCAGAGGATTTTCTATGTAAATTCCAACAGAAATCAATAGTGTGCCCTCCACGGTCACAGTGAGTACAAGAACGAGGTCCACTACGGCCCCCACTACCACTCGTATGACCTCCTCGAATACTATGACCACCTCAATGACCATTATTGTGGCTACTAAGGACCACAAGAGCTGAGTGATCAATGGGAATCCCATTATCGATGCTTGAAGTAGGCAAAATAGCATGCTGTACACGAGAGAAAACCTCAAGTAGTGAGGGAAGAGTAGAACCATCCAAAATCTGAGAATGAATAGCCTCATATTCTGGTTTCAGTCCTACCAAAAACCTAACAACATTCATGTCCTCATGTTACTTCTATCAAACTACTGCATTAGTAGTAAATGGATGGTGGTCTTCATCTCCTCACAGACTCCCCGAATGTGAGAATAATAATCCTCAATGCTCAGAGTACTCTGTTCCAGTCGGAAGTACTCCTTGCACACCTCATAAGCTCAGGTAAAATTACTTGTAGTAGAATACATAGTGGCCAAGTGATGTCATATCTCCTTAGCAGTGTCAAGATAGAGTAGAGTAGAACTAATACTAGGCTCAATGCTATTCAATAGTAAAGAAATAATTTGAGCGTCCTCTTTTTCCCACTTATCATACCCAAGAGTATCTTTCTTGAGTTTAGGATCCATTAAATATTTCTTAAATCCTTTGCCTCGAAAAAAGACTTGAATAGATCGGAACCATAAAGTATAATTAGTCCCATTGAGTTTAACAGAGGTCATGGAATCATTGGTAAGAGTCGGTGGAGGCAAAGATGGAGTAAGGGACCTGGTATCTTGCTTGGGTTCCATAACAGTGCAGCAAAATAGCAAACAAGAAGTTTTGCAATGCTGAACCAGAGGAAAAAAGACTGTTGGAAGATTGAACCGAGCTGGAAAAGCAAGTTGGACCGTTGAACTGGACAACCTGAGCTCGCTGGACTGATGAACCGGAGTAGAAATTGACTGAACCAGGCTAAACAGGTGTAAAAACTAGGTGAACTGGACTGTAGAAGCTTACTAAACCACTAAACTGGACTGTAGAAACTTATTGGACCATTGAGCCAGAGCAACAATTGAACTGGACCACTGAACCGGAGCAAAAACTGAAGGAACCGGTGAAGGATTACCCAAACTGGCTTAGTCCGAATCAAACCAGGGTTGAACTGAGACTGAGTCGGACTTGGACCGGTCTGGTCTGAAGGCTACCGGATCCGGACTGACTCTCCAGGGTCTTGGATCCAGGTCTAGATCTGGATCTGGATTTGGGCTTAAGAATAGTTATGCCCGTGGACTTGGATTCGTTACCCAAACCCGTAAATCGACCCACCCACTTCAATCGTCTTCTGTATTGAGTAAGGTTTCAACCAAACCCTAATCTCTACCATATCTATCGACTGTGCCAAGGAAACACCACCACAGACGGCACCAAAACTAGACGCCACTAACGTCGATTACACCAACACCGACTACACCACCACGAAGCAAACAACCAGGTGCCAACAAGTCGACTGCCACCACGATGACAGCAACACCCTCACAACACAAAGATCAACCACGACAACAGTACTAGCACCACCACGATGGCTTCGACGAACAACAGTACTACCACCACGAATAGAGTTAATTTATTCAAAATATATTTATGATCGTAATTGCTCTGATACCATGTTAAGTATTGAGGATTAACATGATATTAGAGAGAAACAAAGAGAGGTTAAAACTTAACCTGACTCTCATACATCACTTGTATTTATAGTTAACTTACAATAATTAAGAAAGACAAATACACCCTCTTATATTTACACATAATACCCTAACACTCTTAATAATTTACACATAATACCCTAATACTCTTAACAATCTATTTATTGCATGGGGTTGTTGTATTGTTTATGTGTAAAGGTAGCTGAAGTTGTCTTTCAGAGTATTCTACAAATTTGTTTGTATATCTAGTTAATGTTTGGCATATCTGGAAAAAGTCTTATGCTTCTTTAATTAATATAAATATTTTTAAATTACTGTAGCCCTATGGATTTGATGTGGGTCAATCAGAGAGGGGGGCAGTCCTTAAAGGATTAGACCTTGGTGTTGAAGGCATGCGGGTTGGAGGCCAGGTGAGATAAGTGGCTGGCACAATATGCCTTTGTGATATCCTGAAAAAGCTGTTTTGTGCAATGACATTAATGTCACAGTCCTGCTAATTTAAAATCACAATAGCAATTGGAAGTATGAGATGGATTAAATTTATCTATCATTTGCAGCGATTGCTGATAGTCCCCCCTGAGCTAGCTTATGGAAGCAAAGGGGTGCAGGAAATCCCTCCAAATGCGACAATTGAGGTAACAGGTTTCTATTATTTTTCCAGTTTTTAATTGGTGGGAGGTAACTGCAACTCTCAAAATTGGGAGGTAACTGCAACTCATTGTTATTAGATAATATAATGGCTTCATAGTGATTTACATATCGACAAAGTACACATTCTAGTTACAATAAAAAGGAGTCATCCTAACTAAAGGCATGTTCATGGACATGTTATTTTTCTGTGTAAAGAACAGGAATGCTTCACAGAAAATTTTTGTTATTAATCTTAAATTTTACGTGATTTGATGTAATATTTCTTTCAGTTGTTCTTTAATTCTTCCATCTTTATCTAATTGATCTTTCAGTGTTTTGGTAAATTTCATGTAGTATCTCTTTCAGATTTGTTACTTATTTCACCATTTGTTTAGCCTTTGTTATATTTACCTTTGTATCATTATATTCTTTTGGTCTGCAGTTGGATGTTGAACTACTGTCCATCAAACAAAGCCCATTTGGGTATGTAATGGGTGCTGAGAAAAGCATTCTCCAGCCTTCTGATGTAGTCTTTCTTAAATTCTCTATGGTATTTAAATTCAGCTTTATTAATACTATTTTGTAATGCAGGTCTCCTGTTAAAATTGTTGAAGGATAAGTTGGCTATATTCTGGTACTGCTGATTATTTTGGTTCACCAAGAATGAAACCTTCAAGTTCTTGCAAAGAGTATTCCTGAATTTACCTTAATTGTGGACTGCACTGCTGTTTTGATATTTTACGAAAATTGTGCCTGAATTCATTGGTATCATCTCCTTCATATCATTCAAGTTAACAATTTCATCATGTATAATTCGTTTGCTATAAATTTTAGTATCTTACTGAATGTATATAACTGTTGCTGTAGTTGGAAGAGGGAAAAAAAAATAAAAGAAAAGCAGGGAAATATTTAACTGGAGTCATGCGAAGTATGTGAAAGCTTTCAATTGAATCTAAAGATCTCAAACCAAAACCTTAAGCACATGTAAGTGTTTAACAAGTGAAAAGAACAGAATAGAGCAAGCACATTAGTTTTGCTCACTTCAGCTTCTTGTTTCAGCACCAACCATCTAATTTTTAAGAGTTGCATGTCTGCTCGATTATTTTTTTTCTCCTACTTCTGTGCATTATTCTTCTTTGAAAGGACATCTACAAATGCCAATGTGTGCATAAAATACATGCATGGTGATCATATAATATCTATTTCCCTGAAATTGTTGAATATATGGGCAACATATCTCCGCGATTTTTTCTGAATTAGTCTCCATTCATGGATAAATTGCTATTAAATACTGCCATATTATCTTGTGAAATCTTTGTACCTAAAATCCATTGTGATGATAAGGGAGACCAATTATAATGTGTAACAGGGTATTTGTTGGTGCATGTATCTTGGGAATGTTTGTATTATATTGTTGTGAAGCTCCACGTGTATGTTTATAAGATCACAGAACTTTAGGTTTTTTGGTATTTGGGGTGCTGTTATACTATAACTTTATTCCTTCTATATGGAAAAAAAGAAAGATAAAATATGAGACCATTGTCTGCTAGCAAAGAAGCCTTTTCTGGTTAAGCATTTCCCTAGGTAGTAAGAATTCTATCCCTATGGCATCATATAGTAGGAATCCAACTGGCCTATAAAGACCAAAAATTTCTTACTTTTTAACCTAGATTCTTGTAACTGCTTTTTTGAATTTTCATTCGCCAACTTTATTCTCTTTCTTGCCTTTATTTACCCATCTTCCTTCCAGTTTGTACCATAAACATATCAACTTCTTCCTTTCTTCTTGCAAAATGACTATGACCAAGCCTAAATCTAATTCCCCCAGCCTTTCTATCTCTATAGTTTTTCTTCATTACTTTTTTCATTACTCTTCTTCCCTACGGGCTTGTCCAAACTGTGGCTCTATGGAAGTTCCATATCCTCTGAGCACAAACCCCAACTGTGGTGACCTGAACTATTATTCTCTTCATTGTGATCCCCACTCTCAGAAGCTCTACTTCGATGCCCTCAATGGAAGTTCTTATCTCATCCTCAGAATCATGGCTTCCTTTCAGCGCATGGTGGTGCAACCATCGCCATGGCTGGCTGGTACATGCATCACTCAAGACATGCCAGAGAGTGAGGGACTCCTGTTAAACCAGTCACTTCCCTTTAACATCACTTCATCCAACACTATCTTCCTTTTCAACTGTTCACCTCGTCTCTTGGTCTCTCCTCTCAATTGCACTCCTTCTAGTCTTTGCCATCGATACCTAGAGAGCTCTGGCCATGTCGATGCAAAACGTGCACTCAAGTGTGCAAGTGGTCTCAACCCATGCTGCACCTTTGTTGCAGGTGGCATGCCATCAGCATACAAGGTAAGGCTGCACAGTTCAGGTTGCAGAGCATTTAGAAGTATCCTTGACTTGGATCAGGAAAAACCTGCAAGTGAGTGGGAGGAGGGATTAGAAATTCAATGGGCTCCTCCACCCGAACCACTTTGTAAATCCCAAGTTGATTGCTCTGGGGCTTCCAAGTGTTCGCCTGCTGACAAAAATGGTGTCTTTCGTTGCTTTTGCAATAGAGGCTATTATTGGGACCATGGCGTTGGAGCTTGTTTAAGGAAGAAGAAGAACTTAAAATCTGGCCTTGCATTGAAGGTTTCCATTGGGGTATTCTCCATTCTAACTCTTGCCATAGTAATGGTTGCAATTTCAGTGAGAAAATCCAGCAAATTTTCTAACCAGGCAAAGCTTGCCAAGGCAAGAGAAGAGATGTTGAAATCAAGTAATGGCGGGAAATCTGCGAGGATGTTTAGCCTGAAAGCAGTGAAAAAAGCAACAAGTGGCTTCTCTAAAGACCGGATTTTGGGGAGTGGTGGTTTCGGAGAAGTTTACAAAGGTGAGCTTCAAGATGGGACTGTTGTGGCAGTTAAGGCAGCTAAATTAGGAAATATAAAGAGCACCCAACAAGTACTAAATGAAGTGGAGATACTTTCTCAAGTCAATCACAAGAATCTGGTAAGGCTCTTGGGGTATTGCATTGAAGCCGAGCAGCCGTTAATGATTTATGAGTACATATCCAATGGGACCCTCCATGATCATCTACACCGCAAGTACTCCATCTTTCTGGACTGGAAAGCAAGGCTAAGAATAGCTTTACAAACTGCTGAAGCTTTGGCTTATTTGCACTCAGCGGTCTATACTCCTGTCTACCATAGAGATGTGAAGTCAACAAATATACTCCTGGATGAAGATTTCAATGCAAAAGTTGCAGATTTTGGGCTTTCCAGATTGGCTCGCCCTGGTTTGAGTCATGTGTCCACTTGTGCCCAGGGAACATTAGGGTACTTGGACCCCGAATACTATCGCAACTACCAACTAAATGATAAAAGTGATGTTTACAGTTATGGGGTTGTGTTACTCGAACTTCTGACTTCCCAGAGAGCAATCGACTTCTCTCGAGACCAAGATGATGTGAACCTTGCCATTTATGTGAGTCAGCGAGCTAACAGTGGTTTTATCATGGAAGTTGTGGACACACAGTTGCTTGGAGAGGAGCCTTCTGTTAAGATAATGGCTAGTGTCAAGGACTTCTCTGAGCTTGCACTTGCCTGTTTGAGGGAGAAGAAAGCAGAGAGACCAAGCATGAAGGATGTTGTTCAAGAACTCCAATGTATAACAGCAATAGTAGACCAACAAGAAGCTTCTAATGAGGTGGGTGCTGAGACTCTGTAAATTTATTATGCTATGATGATTATATAAATACATGTGTGTAATATTTGAATATATTAGTTGTGGAGATAGAGGAAAAAGAAAAGGCAAATAAGTGGGCGTGTGGAGGACATGATGCCTGGAAGGACCTAGATGTTGTATTATTCACAGGATTTAAAGTGATTCTAGGAATGAAGTTGAGTGGGGTAGAAAGACTTGCAGAGAGACAAGGTTGGGATCAGATGCTTACTTTCTGCAGAAAGCATGAATGATTCAAAAGACATGGATTTCCACAAATGGGTCAGCAAAGTATCTAATGGAATTTATGATGGATTATGTATAGTGGGAGGAAAAAGCAAACCACCTTTAGGTAATGGCAAAGCATTTGCTTGCAAAGTTTCAGTATAAAGGAATATATTGTGGTTCCTTCGGTAACTCTCTCTCTCTCTCTCTCTCTCTCTCTCTCTCTCTCTCTCTCTCTCTCTCTCTCTCTCTCTCTGTGTGCGCGCGATGCATGCAGGCACGCATTTCTGGGCGAATGTTCACATTATAGAGAAATTTGGGGGTTTCATGAAAAATCAATTGGGATGATATGGTTAAGTTCATTAGACACAGTCCAACACAACCAAAGTTGAATTAGATTTATTTATTTTTGGTATATTTAGCAAATCAATTTCCTCTTTTCCTTTTCGTTGTGGGTGTATTTGCCTTTCTTATTATCACCTATCCGATTAGGTCTACACTTGCTATTATATACTATATAGATATACTAATTATTGTCTATATCTAAAGGCACTATACAACACATAAAAAAGAAATCGTAAGTAATTGCTCAGCTTGAAAAAGAAAATAGCTCGAAAATATTCATATAAATTCTTTTAAAATGATCTGAAATATATTATCGACGAACCATATCCTCCATATTAATAGAACTATCACAAAAATGTACAAAAAATTCTTCAAAACAACACCACATATGCAAATATCTTGAGGAAAAAAATACTAACGAAACTTAATAAAATTTACACTTTTTATGTAATAATTTATCACCATTATAACCATTTAACTCAATAACACAATATAACTATAAACTCATTCACCAAATTTACAATCCACCCCATGTAATAAATACCTCAAGTAAAAACAAACAAATACTAACAAAACATACTATTAATAAATAAAATTCATTACTAATGAAATAAAAATTGTAACCATCTATATAATAAAAATAAGTTTACAAATGATGTAATTTTTTTTTTTGCTATATGAAATTCCACCAGTTTCCAAAAGAATGTAAAAAACCTATAAAAATAATATTTTGATTTTTTTTAGTGCAATTGGTGTAACTTGTTATTTTTTATTGGTAATTAACTTGACTTTGAATTTTTTTTATTGATGATTGTATGAGAGAAAGAGAGCATATGTGAGACAAAGAAAAAGAGAGAGATGGGAGAGTGTGTTCAAAAGAGATATGAGATAGAGATGAAGATATAGAAAGAGAGTTATAAGAGAGATATATAGTGTATTTAAAACGTCTAAAAAATAGGACAAAAAGTGTGCGTTTAAAAGAGATATGAGATAGAGAGAGTTACATGAGAGAAAAATGTCTAAGAAATAGGAGAGAGAAAGTATGGGAGAATGTGTGTTTAAAAGAGATAGGAGAGAAAAAGTGTTATATACGTGTGTTTAAAAGAGAGAGGAGATGGGAGAGTGTGTTTAAACGAGATATGAGATAGAGAGAGTTATATGATAGATGAAATAGTGTGTTACATCTAAGAGATAAGAGAGAGAATTATATGAGAGATGTATAGAATGTGTGTTTTAAACTTTTAAGAGATAGGAGAAAGAGAGTATGAGAGATTGTGTGTTTAAAACACATAGGAAAGATAGTGAGTTATATACGTGAGTGAGTTTAAAAGGGAGAGGAGATGGGAAAATGTGTGGTTAAAAAAGATGAGATAGAGAGAGAGAGTTATATGAGAGATGAGAGAGTAAGAGAGTTATATGAGAGTTTGGAGAGTGTGTTAGAAAATATTCATTACTAAGTAAACAGATTCCACAAAAATTAATAACTAACTTGTTATATAAGCAAATAACTATCACTCTTTCTTTATGTAAGTTTAAGTTGGGTTCACTTTATTCACTTAAGATTTTATTATTAGTTGGTGATACTATGTCATTAATGATGATATGATATCACTGTTGTATTCAATATTTACTCGTCTAAGAGATAAGAGAGATAAGAGAGAGATTGAGAGTCTTAGAGTTAAATTAAATTATGATCGTTGAATCAATTATACTGAATCAATCTGAATCACAAAAAATTCAAGATAATCTAAGTTATCTATTTTATTATATAGATCTACAACCATCAGTATAAATTATACCCTTTAAATTTGATGGAACTTGAGACAATACGAAAACTTGGTGTTGTTACCTAAGCATGACAAACCAAACCTCGAACATTCTATGGTCATGATTCATGATTCATGATTAATAATAGGGAAAATTTTAGTAATGCCCTTTACAGTTTACTATATTTTTAATGACACTTTTTCTATTATCAAAAATATTATTGACACTTCTTCTAATTTATATTTGAACATCATTAGCACTAACTACCATTTATAACCAAAAAAATTATCTAAAATACTAAAATTATCCTTACATAAACTTCAAATAATCTTTCCACGTAAAATTTGATTAAAATTTTAGCCGATTAAAATTTATTTTTTCATATATTAAAATTCGAGTTGATTAAAATTTTTTTTCTACATATTAAAATTTGAGTCAATGAAAATTTAATTCGATCCAATTAAATTCTATTTTTTTACGTATTAAAATATGAGTTGATTTGAGCTCTACTTGAGTTATTAGTTTCAATTAAAATTTATATTTTTTATTTATTAAAATTTGATTCAAGTTGATTAAAATTTATTTTTTATATGAGTCGATTAAATTTATATTTTTTTTATATATCAAAATGCAGGTCGATTAAAATTAAATGCGAGTTGATTAAAATTTAATTTGCACCTTGAATAGAATTTTAATCTACTCAAATTTTAATACGTAAAAAAATAAAATTTTTAATTGACTAAAATTTTAATACATAAATAATAAATTTTAATTAACTCGAATTGAATTTTAATCTGTCCGAATTTTAATATTTAAAACAATTTAGAAAATAGAGGAGTCTCATTAAAGATATATCTATCTATAGAGATTGTGGATGAAGTTTTTCTTAAAATATAGGAAAATTTTCAATCACACCCCCTCTACTTTATCATATCTTCAAGGACACCCTTTCTAGTTTTTGAATCTTCGCTGATACCTCTGTTAGATTAAAGACTTTAAATAGAATACAATTTTACTAAATTACCCATGATATATTTTATGAAAAACTTCATGCATACCCCCTATAGATAGACATATCTTCAATAAAACTCCCTCTACTTTATAAAATCCATTTTTAATCCGTTCGAATCAAATTTTAATCAACTGACATTAAGTTTTACTCTGCCTAAATTTTTATAAATAAAAAAATATAAATTTTAATTGACTTAAATTTTAGTAAAAAATAAATTTTAATTAACTTGAATCGAAATTTAATTGACATGAATTTTAATAAGTAAAAAAATATAAATTTTAATCAACTCGAATCGAATTTTAATTGACGCTAATAACTTAGGTTGAGCTTAAATACGTAAAAATTAACTTGAATTGAATTTTAATCAGTGCTAACAAGTTAGATTGAGCTTAAATACGTAAAAATCAGCTCGAATCGAATTTTAATTTGTAAAAAAAAATTAATTAACTCGAATTTTAATATGTAAAAACACAATTTAATTGACTCAAATTTTAATCAAATTATATACAAAAAGATTATTTTAGATTTATGTAGAGGCAATTTTGGTATTTTAGATAAAAATTTTTTTATTAAAAATGATTGTTTAATGGCAAGGATGTTAGTGATATTTAAATATACACTAGAAGGGTGTCAGTGATGTTTTTGACAATAGAGGGAGTGTCTTTGAAGATATGATAAATTAGAGAAAATGTGACTGAATTTTTTTTTAAAATATATCATGTGCGTATTCTGATTAACACTTTTAATCTAAGGAGTGTTAATAAAGATTAAGAAAATGGATAGAATGTCAAAAGAAGGGTATAGCTAAAATAATATTTTTGTTGGGTAAGTAATTAATAATATTAATATTCTAAGGGAGAGACAAGACGACATACCCTCGGTCCATAACCGGACATCTCATTGGCTACCTTAAATTGATGGCCCGGATTGACCCCCACTGGCCCTACAGAGAGAGAGAGAGAGAGAGAGTATGTTACTGGAAAATCGTTGACTCCATGCAGCAAAAGCATTAGCCATGTTTTTTCTTCCCTTCGACGAATCAAAATTGGACATGTCGTAGTCGTTCTGATAAAAAAAAATTGAACTAAATTGTAACATTAAAGTTTGGGAATTTTTTTTTTTTTTTTTGTTGGTTTTTCGGTGCCGTAGACAAACCCCATTCACTGCTGTCACTGTTACGAAGTTATTATGATTTTGAAACTTTTATTACCCACCAGTGTGTGGGCATTGCAATCATGGTTTACCGAACAGTGCTTTGGCATTGCCCCTTGGTCAACATGGCATGAGATAAGAGCCCAAATGCAGGAAAGTAGATAAAATTTCACTGTAACATATCATCGGTCAGCCATTGTGCAATTGAAAACCTTTTCGGGTTAAATTCCTTTTTTTACGCAAGATTGACCACTTGGGTAGTAGAAACCCAAACATCTCTTTATTAGGAATGAGATACTAATTCTTTATTAAAATTACTATTATCCAAGCACAACCTTTGGAGTGACGATGATTCAGATTAATTATAAGAAATATAATTAGCATCTGCTTTCTAATTAAAAAAATAATAATATTTTTCCAACAATTGCTACTAAATTTAACAAGAGTGACACTAAGAACCGGAGTTTGTCAAGAATTGCTCAAGTTGTGGAGTCAGATTCATATAGTAGGGGGAAACAAAATGTATTCAAGAACAGAAATCCTCTATAATGTAAATGAAACTAAAAGAAGGCAAGTTTTTTTAGGGGAGAAATAAATAGAGATGTTTCACCAACAGTAACTATCAAAAATCTTGCTTGCTTGCCGCTCAAGCCGCAGCTTATCCTCAATTTTATTTTTTTTGGGGCCAAAACCCAGTTGAGAGACAGCAGCCTTTTTTCAGTTGACGGCAACCTCAGAAAGGTAACTAGAATGAAGAACATCTTGGGTGGATACTTGGGTCTTGGAGAGCTTGAGTACTTGCACAGCTTCTTCCACCTTTGCAGCCAGTGACTCTGGTGACTCCAACAACAGGAGCAATTCCGAATTGTCCATCTCCAAAAGCATTCCCGTTATCTTTGCCGTGAGATCAGGCTGCAGATTGTAAGTTTGGATTAGTATAAAAACTCAGACATTCCAATGAGATCACGGGCTGTATCTCAACAACACATCGAATAACGGGAAAAAGACGCTAGAACAACTTTTAAGGGCAACTTAATTTCTTTCAAAACTAAGTGACCTTAAAATAACGGCCGCCCCCCGCGGGCAGGGTAGGGGGAGAGAGAGACTTAAACTAGATACAAGTTTTACTTAAAATTCCTATTTGAGCCTCCAAATGGACCCATAACACTCTAAACTCTGCACCATAGTCACCCAAAATCACTAAAACCCTTGACAACCCCGATTTGGTTACAATGATCTTAAATAAGGTGGGTTCACGAACCAGACCACCTAAATATCTGATCCCAAATTATAATACTAACTTCCAATCGAGTCATTTTAAAACATATAGCATAGACGATAAGAAAATATTATTTAACTATGTACGTATGAATATATAATTATATATAACTATAGATAATGGGAAATTGAACACAACTGCAACATAAATAGTAATCGACTATGTGTTCATAAATGTACTATTATATATAATTTCATATACTAGTGAAAGCAATCTGGATAAGAGTTCCACAACGAATTGCGACCAGCACCAACTAAACCTATTCTCATTGTTCCACGAATCTAAGAAATGTCGTAACGTATACTTGAACCCCCACCATGTACCAAATCGACCTACGATAAGGTAACATTGATCTGAACCTTTTGGGAAATTCTAACACATCAAAACGATCAAAGTTACGGAACTTACACATGTTCTAGTCATCATAGCAACATTTTCATTTACATTCAATTACTTTAAAAAGTAAATATGGCCTGAAAACTGTCAAAAGTTTGAACTCTATATAGCTATCATAAATGTGTGGGAAAAGGACTCAGTCGTGTAGATTTTTTAGGAAGAAAAATGCATGGTGCGCCAGTAGTATCTCTGGACCAAATAATCGTAATCAGATTAATAACTACCTTGTGTTGGTTGACAAGGGGATAGAGACGCTCCCCAAGTATCCGTTTCTGCTTATCAGGAGAAGCGGCAGCTAGCATGCTACTTAACATCTCGGATCCCTCAGCTCCAGATCCAGCGGAATTTGAAGCAGCAGTGGATACTCCAGATCCTTTGTTCATGTCACGCAGACGCCCATTTGGTACATACTTAACCTGCCCAGACCGCTGCAAAGCACAGTTCCTCAATATTAAAATCAATATCCACAGTAGATAAATGTCTCACATGCAACCTGGTCAGTAAAAGGCATCATATGCATTCAATATCTGATAGACATATCACCGCAAACCTGTGAATGACCTACCCCTCCCCCTCCCCCTCCCCCTCACCCAACCCAACCTCCCAAAAGATCGAGCTTTACATATAAAGATGACCAGGTGGTCATTATTCAATCTAACAGTTTATGCCTTTATGGCACTATCTCCGGCAGCAAATCATACTGCCAACCAAGTTGTATCTTTGTGAGGAATTTATAATATCACTCCCCGAATAATACTTGCAGATAATCCACTCACTGAGATAACACGCACTTCAGAGAAATTTACTGAAAATACAAGCGTGACTCCTGTGATAAATAACCGCACGGATATTCAAAGGAGCATGGAGAAACATCTCGTACATATTTGGTAAGAAGCAGGAAAAAGGAAGAGTGATTTTGACAAATTCTGTGCAGTGAGAACATGACTCCTCCACATCAGAATTTCAAGGATCTTTGTGGTGCAGAAAAAGCAAGCTCCAATGCAAGTAAGAGGAAGCAGACTGCACACCTAGCCTTATTTACACGGCAAGGAGGTGGCATGGCCAAGATAACACATTAATATTTAAGTAAACTCCTTCATATTATATTATTGGAGAGCACTTCCTCCCTCGGAAAAAAAGAACTTTCCCTGTTAGTTGGATGAAGTTTCAAATGAGCCTATAGCAGTCAATCTCAAACTATTGAAGAGGTCAGCCATCGGTCAATGAGAGTTTGAAGTATGAGAAGCAAAGAAAACTAGTATACCACACACAATTATTTTCCTAAGTGATTCTGGTTTCTCTTGCATCTTTATGACTGTGGAGTCGAAATGTTTCTGCCACGCTGTGCTTGGAACAGGTTGAAAAAAGCTTGGAATTAGATGTCCTTGAATCAGCCCTACCCTTGGAAAATATATCACAAGATCTCTAGCATCCACATCAAAAGAAATGTCTCCATGATGCAAGAAATCACCAGCATAAGAACATTTTGGAAACAGGTATCTAAAAAATAATTTTCACACACCAAATGAAATTCATATAGGCATCTAAATTACAATACTCGAAAAAGTAGCTATATCCCTGCCCTATCGATTGGCTTAAAAACCATAATGCATATTAAACCCAAAGACTCAAGGACATGAAGTAGAGAATAAAAAACAAGAATTAAGGATGAAAATAAACCTGCTGATTGCTTGAATCTTTGGACAAAGTCACAGAGGGAGTGGGCTGTTGTAAATGTGGCACGTACGAAACAGCATGACCACCACCATGTGAAAGCATATGGCCATTCATCCTCCCTCTGTTTGGCCTATGTTGTCTTGGAGTATTAGGAATCTTTGAACAAAAAAGAGAAAGAAAAAAAATCAGTTCTAAGCATTATAACATGCCAAATTATGTCAACCATTGGACACATTTGGCAAACTAAAATTATTTTCACTATCTTAAGTAATCGTCATCAATTCAGCATATGCTGATTGCCCAATTCATGGAACAAAGATATAGCAGAGGCAATGTTTATGCAGCCAAACAAAGTTATTAAGGAAAAGGCATGTTGAGATGTAAGTGCTGAAACAGCTACCAGGGTATACTAACCAATGGAAGTGGAGGCGGCTGAAAACCAGGTCTTGTTGGAGGTGCATAGCCATTAGCCCTCCACCCTGGCCTCATACCCAGAGGCTGATACATCAGCCCAGGTCTTGGAGGTACTTGTGAAACTACACCAGGAGGAGCTGTGTAGTAAAGGGGAGGATATCCACCAGGGATAACAGCTGATGGTCCCGCTAGTCCTGCCATGTGCTGTGCATACAGCAGCTGTAATTGGGCTTGTCTCTCCTCTTTCCTTTGAGCAATGGCAACATATAATGGCTTCCGGTGAAACATGTATCCTGTAAAACGTCCACAGACAAGGTGACAAGCAGTCTTGATAACAACATTCAGTATGTATGAAATATGCAAATAAGAAGGGGTACGTTATACAAATTCAAGAGGTCTCCAAAAGGATTATGATAGTATTCATTCCTATGTTTCCTCTGGTTTCCTTCTTGAGAGCTGTAAATTAAAAGTTGAACATGTGAAAGCCAAATATATAACTGGATATGAGAAGACAGCTTTCAACATTATAGAACCATTCAAAATATGGGCCGAAAGACTTATACTACTCAAACAGAAAATGAAGAAAAGAGAATGGCAGACCTTAAAGTGGTTCAACTATTGCTTGTCTCATCGTAAATGTTTCCTCAAACTTCTTTCAAATACACACCATAAAAACATTCCTCCCAAGCAGAAAAAAACAGAGAGAAAGAAAGAAAGAAAGAAAGAAAAATATATGTGGATGAAGTGTAACTTAATAGACTAAAGGATTTTTCATCTGCCCCCTCGGCTCTTAGACTTGTGAATGCTGTGTAAGGAGCTGTTGAGATCTGATCTTGAATTTTCTCAATTTCTTGAACTCCTCAAAGTCAACATCATATGTAGAGAAGTATCATATGATTATGATCGTTGCACAAGTTAAGTTTAGGTGATTTGGTATAAACAAATCTTTGAAAAGCTTTAAATGATACTAGAGAATTTATGGAATCAAAGAGAACCATGACCACAATGTTCCGCAATGACTAAGGTCATGTCAAAGCATAAAAATGGGTCTACAGTACTATATAATTTTTAGTAATTTGTCCATATCCAGAATATTCATCTCAGATAAACTATTGTTATAAGCCAGTTTGTGCCTTACGTAATCCTATATTTCATGCAGATTTTTGCAGTAGATTAAATCTATTCTTTTCATACTGTCTACAGCCTGACAAAACAGACATCAAGAAATAACCATATTCTGATTGCCTACCGGTTTAGCAGGAAAAATGGAACTCAACACAAGAATGAATCAAGTCTCACAATCCTCTAAGGCAATATGTAGGATTGTTCATTTCATTACAATATTGCAAAAAGACAGAAGGAATTTCATTCCCTTCCCATATTAAGGTTGATATTTACTCACAGTCCCGTGAAAGTAACTATCAGATGAGAAGATAAAATCTATATATGAGTATGCTTCCTAGTAACTGTACATCTATATGATTTTCTGAGTCGGGAAACTAAATCAACACTCAAGATAATGGAAGAGATATTAAAGAAAATGTCGGCACACTGGCTTTTTTGTACAAAACTAACAAACCCAATTTCTATCTTGATTCCATATTCTGCATCACATACAAGAATAAAGACTCACCATGAAAAGTGTTCACAGCTTTAGAGGCCTCTTCAGGTGTGGAGAAGCAGACAAAACCAAACCCTTTACTGATTCCTTTGTCGTCTCGCATAAGTTTTGCAGAAGTAATTGTACCACATTGACTGAAATGTTCTCGCAGCTCATCATCAGTGACATCATCATCAATATTCTTGACATAAATGTTTGAGCCCTGGAATCATATATCACGAAGGAAACAAAAAAAAAAAAACTTAAATCAGAAAATAGAGGATAGTATACAGCTCTCGAAAGAGAGATGGACACTGGGTCTACCTGATATTTCAAGATTTGCTCCTTCCTTTTCTCCTCGAACTGGCGACGTAAAATTTGCTCACGCTCTGCTTTTTTCTGTGCCCTCGCCACGTACAAAACCTTTGAGCCTACACAATGAAACCACATGGTGAAATGGGTATAAAATATAAATTACCTGTTCAGCAAAATTACTTCAAAAGGAGTACATAACCCACCAAACTGTGATCCATTCATAGCTTCCATCGCCCGCCTAGCATCATCTGGGTTTTCAAAGTTAACAAATCCAAAACCTCTTGAGGCCTCATTTTCATCCTTTGAGACAACCAAGCTAACAATTTTCCCAAACTCACAGAACTTCTCCTTAAGAAGTTCATCTGAGATATCTGAATCCAAATTCTTCATGTACAGATTAGTGTACTTAGCATCGGGACTAGGTGACATCCGATCACTCTTCCTCACAAACTTACCAACATATCTGTGTCATAAATTAGTATAGACGTTAATAGTCAGAGGCTAAAACAGAATGCAATGCAGGTAAGTATTCAAAATATTCAAAATCATAAAACCCACACACATTCCAGAAAAAGTATGGCACAGTGAGGGTTGAAAAGAGGAAAGAATTGCACATACATCAGTTTGCCTCCAAGATTAGCACCATTAAGCTTCTCAATAGCAGCATTAGCAGATTCATCAGACTCAAACTGGACAAAGCCATATCCTTTGCTCTTCCCGTCATCATACATGGCAACTTTGCAAGACAATATATTGCCAAATTCCTGAAAAACTTCTTGTAGCTTGACATTATCAATTGAGTCATTTAAATTCTGCAACAGATACCGGAACCAATATTATATTCACAACCATATTAAAATAACGGCATTTACAACACAGATAGCTCAATAAAAACTAGTTATACCTTGACAAAGACATTCCCAATCCCACTTCTTCTTGCATCAGGATCGCGAAGCGACCACATAACCCTTATTACTTTCCCATTCAGCATTGAATGATTTTTCACCTCGATCGCCCGAATTGCTAGTCATCAAAGGGAAACATAAATATAATTAGAAAAATTCAAACTCAAATAATAAGTAAATCAATCGAGTCCACAATCCATCAAATAAAATGCAATAAAAATGATAAGTTGCCATCTCTTCACTCCCAATCTCAATACATCAGAAATTCTGATCTGTCAATGACTTATGACCCACCCACCACACAATCCATAAACCAGTGCAGCACACAATCTCGGAATTTTGATCACTAAACTGATCGTCAGAGCAAACCACCAAAAAACTTCAAAAAGTAACCATGAAAACAATTTTGAACAAAATCCACCAGATGATAAACGGAACATACGAGCATTAACTTTTAGTCCTTCACTCTCGTCGCATAATGAAATCATAATCACCCCACACAATCCATAACAAATCAAACCAAGATAGAAACGGATATGTGCATATATCAGGTTCTTACCGGTAAATCATAGCAATTAAACAGTGAATTTTGAACAAAAATCACTAAACAAATCATAAACTACTAGGACTAAAATTCAAAACCAAATAATAGAGATAAAACCAATAAAAAACGATCAGCATTGGGATCAATCAAACAAATATGTACCGTCTTGAGGAGAGATTAAATTCACATAACCGTAACAGAGAGAACGGCCGGTGGAGGAGTCGCGACAGATACGTACGGAAGCAAGACTCTTGAACTCAGTGAAGGCGTCGTATAACTGTCCGTCGGTGACGTCCGGATGGAGGTCACCCACGTACAGCGACGCTGATGAGGCGGCGATCGTCGGAGGAACGGCCATTGTCAGATTCTACCACCGAAAAAAAGAGAGGAAGAAATCGACGGCCCACGATTACACTAGAAAACAGAACCACCTGAAACGTATAGTAGAAGAACTGTAGGTATGGAGAGGGAGAGAGAGAGAGAGTGTGGCGTTTCGTATTGGTATTGATTAGGTAACGAAATACAATGAGAGAGGGAGAGAGGATTTGGTTTTAAAGGTAAGCGATTTTCTAGGGGAGGGGATTAATAAGAGGGTAATGAGGGGGAGAGAGAGAGAGGAAATGGAAATGTTGCTGAGAGAGGAAAAGGAAAAGGGTAAGGAGAAGGGGAAGGGAAAATCTTTGAAGGAGAGAATTGGGATGTGAATTGAGAATTTGAGATGATGAGTAGTTGCGTTTTGGAGAGAGAGAGAGAGAGAGAGAGGGTTTGCATGGACGCGGGAGTTCTGTGGCGTTTCAGTGAAAGGATACGTGAGACAGAGAAGGTATGGGTGATAGAATTATTCACGCGCTGAAGAGCAGCGTTTTGTATACTTATGCCATATATGGGACTGAGCGTGAGCTTCGGGACTCTCTTTCAGTGACCACAATAGCGCAATTTACATACTTCTCCTTAAAGTTTGACCTAATAACATAATGTCACCCTATATCTTTATTTTTTTGTTTTTTATTCAATGATCAGGGATGTCTCGGCCAGTATAAACGTATTTAGACTAATCTCTTTATAGGTACAGTCGAAGGCAAGACATCTACATTGAGACTAGGATATTCATTAGAGATAAAGTATTCATGAACTGACCTCAAAAAATTGTCAAAATTAAAATTTCAAACGTCTAAGTTTTCAGCTCGTCTCTATTACTACTTTAACTACCCCTCGACATTAACACCCCATGAGATCATTTGATTGTAGTATTAAAAAATAGATTACATAGTCATAACAAATTAAGACTTTATAATCTAACCTTATACTACATTTGGTGACAAAAAATACTATGTATTATATATAATCTTATTTCAAATATTTATCCAAATAATAGACTCTATTTATATTATTGAGTCAATTATAATACCACATGGGGAGATGATATTATAATCTAATTTAAACATATTAAATTAAAAATTTACTATTTTACCCAACAAATCAATAAAAATATTAATAACAACATAAGATTAATGTTTTTTAGTCATTATGCAATTGTTACTCTGCTATCCCACTCTTAATCCAGTGACTTATCAAATACTGAATTACAATGTATAATATTTTTGTCTCATCTTTAATTTTATATTTTATCTATTTATACGAAATTAGTTTATATTACCTAATACATCTTTTATATATATGATGGGCACGTGTGGAGAGAGAGAGAGAGAGAGAGAGAGAGAGAGAGAGAGAGAGAGACCCAAGGACTGGTTCAAAGCTAAAAAGAAGGTCCCTAGTTCTTCAAACTACATGTAAGGGATCGGTTTATTTCAGAACCAGAGCTTAACCGGACCACAAGGGACGCCCAATTCCACGGACTCCCTACCCTAATTGCTGTCCTCTTCTCCACCTTCTCTCTCCTGTTTTTGAGGTCCATAGCTAATTTTTCTTCAATTAAACACTTTTTTAGCCATAAAACAAAAATTCAAATTTAAGACTCATGCTACTAAGGAAATATATAATACCCTAATGGGCATTGATGAGTATATTTTTTTTTAACAAATAATTACATTGCTTCAATTGCAGAAATACTTCCAAACAAGGGGAAAAAAGAGAGTTAGGTGGGGAAAGGTAGATATAAAAATCACTCTAGGGTTTGGAAAAAAAAAATTAAAAATGAAAAAGTGGGTTTTAATTCGTTTGATTTCCTTCAAGGAATGGGAGATATAGCTTTCATTAATATCAGTGATAAGCATAGCATGGTCATAGGGTTCATGAACTCAAGCTGGCCTATGAACAGCTTTAATTAAAGATTGGATCCTTTTCTAGTTCCTAACATCTAACTCTATCAGAATATCTTCAATTAGCTCTTTATTCTCCCTTAATTTTTTATTATAAATAATTAACCATTAAATTTTTTTTTTCCAATAAACTCTTTATTTAGACTTTAGAGTCCAATTTGACTCTATATCCGAAGAATCAAACTCCCACTCTGCTCTAATTTTTTGGAATAAAAAAGATATATTTGTCTTTTCATTTTAAAAAAAAAAGATAAATGTATCTCATTTAAAATAATAGAGACAAAATAGGAGGAAAGTCAAACTTATTGTCGACAAAACATAAAATGATCAGAATAAAGAATCACATTTGAATGGTGTTGTGTAAACATTTACTCTCTATTGTAATTTTTTGACGCTCTATTTTTTTTTTAAAAAAAAATCTCTAAAATAGAAAGCAATGTTAGATATGCTCTTACGACTTCTATTTGTCAAAAAATTAAGTCAAATTATCAAGTTCCCATAGCATTAATAACAATTGGTGTCTTAAGCATAATGACAGATTTGATTTTGAACCTCTGACATACATTTTTTTTTAAGTTTTTTTTCTCGATAGTACATGATATCACATGATTAAACTAAAAACCACTACATTAGTGAATCACCAACAGATTTAGTTCAACTGATCTAGATCCCATACCGGTGAGACTAAATAAGCTTGAATTTGGAAATTTGAATTTGGGAATCATTTGTTACCAAAATGAGTATCATATAGAAATTGGAAATCTGGTTCCACCTCTTTCAACTGGGTATCACATATAATTACAAATGTGCCAGATAATTTGGTCATTCTACAGGTGGTTAGATATCCCTCACTTGGAGTCAAGAATAGGTGTAACAATGACACCACATCATCAATGTCACGTGATGTCACTAACAAATTATAAAACAACAAATAAGATTAATGAAGTCACAGTTCTAATATATCAGTTACTAGGGTTAACCCATGCCTGAATGCACAATATGTGAATGGTTTGAGAGAGATGTTAGTGATCGTTAAATGAGTCTATTTGAATCCGTCGGATGAATTTATTAAAACCTGTTCTAATTTATATTATAGATTAGATAAGGTTGACTATTAATAATTATCAAAACAACGGAACTCACTAAATTCACATGTTATTCTATCACTAATTGGTTATATCACATGACATTAATGATGTTGTGTCACTATTACATGCAATATTTTCTCACTTCCTAATGACATTTATTAGGTGTCCTCGAAGATAAGGATCGAGAGGTTTCCCTCTCCTTCCGGTCGAGCTCCTTCGGACCCTCTCCCTAACCACAATTCTCCATTTTCGCGGTTAAAGAGATGCTTAGTATACATAGACCACATAAGCGCGGACCGTACGCTCCGCATGTGATATAATCTAGAGAGTACCTTGAATCCTGCACCACCAATACGGAAAGGTGAGTGAATCACTACCCAATTCTCTTGATAGGCTGCTGGTGCTTATGAAATGCGATGAAGCATCAAATAGCTCTTCACAACAAAAGCTCTAGAAATAATTTGGGAAGAACCCCAGATGTCCGTGCAATAAATGACATAGTCTCTTGATTGTTCTCTTGTACTTCATTTGAAACAATATCAAATCTCAACAACAAAGCAAAAGCTAGAAGAAGCCAAGAAACTTGGACTTTTACAACTTTCAGCCCCCCAAAAATCAAAAAAGAAAGAAAATATAACTGTTTACAAATACAAATGTTTCACCCAAAACAAAAAAAGAGCAAAGCCATCTCTAGCTATTTTTACATTATTGTATGATATTCAACAACCTCATGCAAGAGCAATCAACTGACCTGTTTTCGCTTCCAATGTGCGCCCTCAAATAAGGAGATAATTTATAGTGTTGGCAACGCTCAAGATGAAGGACCTTGTCTGAGGCGAAAGCTAAATGTCTAGTCAGGTTAAGAAGAATAGGAGAGGTGAGGGCCAGGTTTACCAGCAATCAGAATGACCAGATATATAGGCACAGAAGATTGCTACTCTAGGAGTCTGAATAGAACAATAGCCTGCTGCTTGATCTATGTAAAAATCAGCCGACGCACATCAAACAAATAATGGGGTTTTGAAGCCAAGGACCACGATATAAAAATAGAAGTCCAATGGACATTATTATTTGCAAAAGGAGAGCATGAGTGCTTTTAGGTTTCAGCTCGAAAAGCCTATGGTTTGATGATCTGCTCACACTCATCTGTCCAGCATTGATGAATTCATCCTTACCAGAAGTTAAGGAGACATTTACAGACAAAGAACCTGATTGAGAGAGACCCAACCAAATCACAAAAGTAGCAAAATAATAGTTCGTTGTAGTAAAGGACAAAACTTGCATGGAAAAGACCAAACTTACAATCATAGTTCGCCCATCCAATCCGTTGATGAGCTAAATCATAAACGAAGATCTTATCTTTGAGAACAAGATCTGCAGAAACAAGATATCAGTTTAATGTTATAATTCTAGAAAGTTGCAAGCAACATGCATACACAAAAGAGGGAAAAAGGAGGTCAAAAACCAAAAATTGACCAACTGTTAATAGAAAATAAACATAACTTGCTGCCCATTTCCTGGGAGCAATTGCATTACATTTAAGCATTCTCAAAACAGATTTTTTATCCATTACAATAATAATTTAGCTCAGGAACGAACCGCCTAAAATTGTTATCCCTGGGCCCTGAACTTTCTGAAAGCCGATGCACCACATAGCAGCACCATCCTGTAACAACAAATTGGTAACTTCAGGCTTGATCCACATTATTCTCCTTGAATAAGCAATAGAATGATCCACATTTTAGTGCCAACTGATATTGACATGTCTATTTAGTTACTACGGGAGAATTGAGTGCAATAAATAGGCAAATTGAAAAACTCACGACAAAACCCAAATGTATAAGGTAGTCTGTTGGTTTTAGAACCATCGATGCACCATCCGCAAAGTCCAAAGCAACTGGAGGAAACATCTCGGCTATACTGTAAGACAAAATAGAGATGGATCCCGTTCAGGTGCCCAAACAATGATGCATTGAAACATTCTCTAAATGACAAATGAGTTTCAAAGGGATATAAGAAATGCTAGGATGAACCTGCTCGTGACAAGGTAACACTGGTTTCCTTTTGAAAGGATGGGTGTCACAGATTGGGAAACAGTGGAAGTAACCTGTGAAATCAATAAGCAAATAGACTTCAGAACAACTGGCATATAAATTCTTCCATCAAGGAAAGGTAAACTAGTCATATTTTTTCACCATAGAAATTTGTCCACATATAACCATTGATTTGTCCCTATTCACTGCAAACACTCCATCTCGCTTCATTAACCCTTTTCATATTTGTTGTGGGTTATAATATTGAGATAGATTTTCTAAATGGAATATTATTTATCATCTTTACCCTTGCAGAATCATCACTGTAGAATAAGGAATGCAGTTAATGAGAATGGGGACACTGCCCAAAGAGCCAACTTCCCCCCTAAGTCTGACACAAGGAAAAGGAACATTGACTAAATCTCCTTTCATGACCAAAACCATGTTATAGAATCAAGGTTAACGAGACGAACATGAAATGCTCTGCTGTGTTTCTCAGGTCTTTCCTTTACCCAGCATAGTTTAGGTGTTACTGCATTCGGAGAGCCGTCTCAGTCATAGCGCAATGGCTAGGTGCGGGCATAGCATGAAAGGGGGGGGGATAGGGTCAAGGGATTGATTCTTAATGCCATTAAGAAAAAGGGAGTTCTCAAAATGTGGTTTGGTTTAAATGTGCATGTCATATCAAAACATAAATAAATATAAAACTACATGCCATCAGTCTCTTTTAATCTGCAACTCCTGTAACATTTGGGACCCAAAATAATAAAGCAAACTTACAGCACTGACAAATGGATCATAAGCTTCTTCCACAAGGTATGCCAAAGTTGTTCCCGAATCAATGATTGTTCCTCGGTTGCTTGATGTTGCAAACACTGCTGGATCAATGGGTACCAACTGCCCATTAACAGCAATGCTCTGTAGATACAAATTGTAATGAGGCCTGAAAGATTTGACACAGCAAAAAAAACAAACTAAATGCAAAATCCATAGTCTCAGTAACCATTCATTTATGAGTATAAACATAAACAATAGTTAGCTATAGAAAATCATTACATTTGGTTTCTTTAATACTAGAAAGAATTGAGGACAATGAATAAGCCAAAAAAAAAAAGCCATATGAGAGGAGAAGCTTAGCATGCCAAGATTTATGTTTCATGACAGGCAAAAGGCAATTCAACATAGAAATTATATGTAATTTTGAGCAGAAACAGTCATCATAAACATTTAAGTTTGCATGAGGTTCATTGGAAGTAAGCATCCAAGGCGATAACGGAAAAACCTATAAAAATAATTTGCAAAAGAAAAAAACATATACATCTGTTGTCAGACACATTCCAATTTTGGTGGTCAAACTCTTTTTGTCATTGCGCTTATGTTGTTTGTTTTTGGTTTTGCCATAGGAGGCCTCCCCCCTTTGTGGGGGGGGGGGGGGGGGGGAGGTGACTAGAGAGACAATAGTTTATTACATTACCTCTCCAGATCATTAAACTTCAAATTAATAATAAAGATGATGTGCCAATACTCAACCTTCAAGAAATTTTCACGTAGATCTTGATCATGTTTGACAATCTTGAGTCTAGAAAGGAATGTTCAAGAAATGCATTGTAAAGGTTGATGAAGCAAGCTACAAAACAATGAAATGAGACTAAAGAACAATGGCAGTTTTTGGGCATCCAACAACCAAATTATGCACCATGGAGAGGTAGCCAGGTAGGTGATGCAGTCCCCAGTGTCTAAATTATGCACAATGGAGAGGTAGGTTGTGGAGTTCTGTTTAAAGTCTCAAAGAACTAATAAGTGTCAAATTTCTCCCAACCTGAGAGGACTAGAGAATATGGTGGACAAAAAAGTCTACGGCAAAAAAAGTAGGAATTTTGGACATGGCCTGGCTTCTGAAAATTTTGGACAAGAATATCATCCCACAATGATCAACCAAAAATTGAGTAGGAATGATTGGAGAGGTTCACAAAGCTCCTGTACTAGTTCAGAAGGCTACACATTTCCAATCTGGGATAAGCTCTAACACTCCACTCAAGTAATACACCTAATGAACAGGGAAAGCAAAACAGATTACTGAGACATAAATAACGACCTTTTGTAATAATTTGTAATAAAAATGATTTACTGTCAACCAGTGCTCGTACATGCTTGCACAATGTTATAAAATCCAATCCAAAACTAATTTGCCAAGTGGAGAGGCTCGTAATGCTTAAATACTACTTTTCTGGTCGTATCATATACTGATTTAAAGGCTGCACATTTCCTACATGGGACAAACTCTAAAACAATATAACTACAAATAAGACATAGGCCAAGCATCTTATATGCACCAAGATAGCAAGTAACCAAATCACACAACAATAAAAGGAGATTGCAGTACATTAAACAGGAGAGTAATGATGCCGCCGGTCTGTTCAACAGGATTTGCACTACAGAATTCAGTGTCGAAGAGGATCACATTTTGGTTCTCAGGCTACAACAATTCAAATTATTGGAAACTGATTTTTCATCAAATAGAGTAAAAATATAAGCCACAAGAGAGTAACCAATCACCCAAATGGTGTTAAAGTGCATATGCAATATCCAATGAACCTACAAAAAATTCACAAGCAATGTTACAACTTACAGGTATAAATAGAGCCGATGACATACATGCCAGGTAGAATGTTAAAGGCACAGTAATTTTACATGGGTAGTAAAGAAACAACACCAGATTATTGACCTGGATGCATTGTAAGAACTGCCAGTGTAATTCCTGTGGCAGCTAAAAGAAGTTCTAAACCAGGCCTATACAACTTCTACAGAAATAGAATCAACTCCATGTAAGCTCCAAATTATTGTAGGTAATGATGCATTTGTTCTGCATTGCATACATCAATCTTAATTGCCAAAACATATACAGACCATTTTCCTAGTGAATCTGTACAAGAAGCAACCATTGTTTTTTGGTAAATAGTGCAAAAAACATTTTGGCCCACAATGACTAACCATTGTCCATGCACACACGCAACCCCGCCCCCCTCCCCCCCAAAAAAAAAAAAAACACAGAAGAATCAAGCTGCATGAGTAAAAAATGTAATCATTAACATAGGATTTGTCCATGAGAGCATCAGCAACAAAAAGAAGGAAGTTTGTGTGCAGTAACAAATACGTACTGTGATGGAACAAGTGGACTATAAACGATGCTCGGATCCAAAATCTCACCAAGAACTAGAATACCACCACCATTGCCCTCTCCTTTCAAGCAATGGGAGAACACCCTTGGAGTAATTCCTTTCGATGACAATTGTGATATAACAGACAGATCTTGTTGGCCAAACCCAAAAATCCCGTCAATTGCTCGATCTGTTTTAGTCAAGTCCCCAGACTGATAGGTGCTACACCTGTTCCCAACATCAAATCCAAATATAAGCATCAACCAACAAAACCAAATTATGAACATTAACAGGGGACAAAATTAATCATAATAAAGCGAGATGCCAAGATTTTGACAGAAGCACATCTACTGAATGCAAAGCAGTTGCAAAGTAGGACCAATATTGGTCCACTACTTCCCTAATGTTCCCTTCAATATGATATCCCCAGCCTTATTTCTCCAATTGCCAAACAATCCAAAGATAACTTCAGAAAGTCTAAACACCAATTTTTGTTGATATGCACCCATATCAATTCACATCCCATTTATATTGACCTACAAGGTCATTCTATCTTTCATTTTGCAACTTAAGCTCATGCTATTGCTATGGTAGTTATACAACCCTAGAATGGTAATCTTTTGTGAAAAACTCCTGAACGTACTCCTATAGTTAGCTTCTTCTATGGTTCTTCTGTCCAACTCTCTTCTCTTCTTCTGAATGTATCAAATTCCATTTCATACAGAAACAAAAACACAGGCATGAATGCAACATACAATACAACAAACAATGTCACTGCAGTCATAACAGCTCACCCAAAAATAATTGAAGCTGAAGAGTTGGCGATGGAATATTCTCCAAAAATTGAGTCAAAATACAGCAAATCGGATACATAATGGCCAGATGTCCCACTTCCATCTCCATACTGGAACGAGTAACCACACTGGTTGCTCTGAGAAGAGCATTCAGCTGATGCAGTTTGAATTGCAGATGAGCATATTGCGTCTGAACAGGAAACCAGGGAAGCAGTTGATGAGCTTGCAGAATCAAAGAAATTGAGCTGAATCTGCAGACACAAAACAGCATGAGTAAGCAGTCAATTCCAAATAGTCTCCTAATTCCTTAAAACCAGTAGATTAAATGGGGAATATAAAGGTGAACAGGCAGAAATCTACTCCGAGTCCACTTGATTGAGGGCAATCATTGCAGGAACTGCATGTAACCCACAAGATGTCACTGCCAGTATCAATCTGCACATTGAATTCTCTTGGTGGAGACCCCAATTTCACTTTTGTAAAATAAAGCCTGCAATATAAGCAACTACTTCATGAAGGTAGAATATAGTCAATAAAAAAAAAATTAACTGGGAAACCCAGATTAGGCAAGTCTTTGGTAATTAATAAAGAGCATCCAAACCCACAATTTCCGCTGAAGCATAGTGCACATTTACATATGTATAGGTGTATGTTGAAAACCAAAAATTGTCTTGATATACCAAATTATCCACAACAAAAGACACATAATTTTGCTTGAATATAGCAAACAATGAATAGCTATGAATGGTAAGAACCTTGAAAACTAACAGAAAAAAAAAAAAACTTTCAAGGGTATTGACACGCATAATTATTTTTAGCTTACCAAACTGTTGACATCAAGAAGACCCAAAATTCATTGACCTAATAGCACCCAATAATACAAGAACTAATGAATTGAACTTTCTTTTTTTTTTGGTCAGGGAATGAATTGAAACTTAAAAGCCACTTTTTGTGGGTTTCCGAAGTTTAATAGAATCACCCAACGACTTCTTGGAGATCATCAAATGTGTAGACTATCTTCAAGCTGAAACCCATAATCTTTTTTTATATGTCACACTATCAATAGCAAAAGTCCCAAAACCTCCCTTAAATACATCCAGCCATCCACACTTAAGAACTCAAAAAATAAACTTAAAACGGAAAAAGGGTTTTTCAGATTTTGATGATGCCCTTAAATTTTCTTGAGCATGCAATCTATTTACAGTAAAGAAAACAAAAATTCTCGTTAACAACGTATGAACACCCAAGAATCCAAGAAATAAAATAAACCAAAAAAGAAAGGGTCCTTCTTCATAGCTTTTGATAAAATTACCCGACCAGGTAAGGATCGGAAGTACCAACAACCGGAAAATCAACAATACCACCGACAACTCTTTGCAAGAGACGCGCGTGCCTCGCTCTGTCCCGAGCTTTGAGCGCCTCCACCTCCACTCTCATATTCACCGGAAAAGCTCTCTCCAATGTAAGCACACTCGATGGAAATCCAAAACCTCCGCCTCCGTACACCATCGCGGCCATCGCCGCCGCAACCAACAACAAGAAGAAGAACTCTGCGCCAGCCATCGCCGGCAAGTCTACCTATATATATATAAGTATGTGTTTCTCTAAATGAACTTATAATACGTGACTGCGTGTATTTTGTAATATAATGAGGATTATAGAGGTGCGTACAGAAGATCAAAGTGTCTGCTTATCTGCATTGGTATCAATGGTGCTGGTTTTTAGAGAGAGAGAAAGAGAGAGAAGAGAGAGGACGAAACTACAGAGGACATACAGAAAAAGCTTATTTATAATTTACCAGAAGTTTCAAATTTTAATCAATAAAATTAGGTGCGGATGTGATTACTTTATTTATTTATAATAATTAGGTGTGATTAATTTACTATTTAATAAATTAATTACTTTCTTGGGGTGCTGATTGGGATTGCCAGATAGACTCTCACACCGCATGCTGGTGTGGAAAAAGTGTACGATTGAATTGGGATTTTAGGGGTACTAAAAAAAAAATAACGAAAATATTATGCTTACCAATTTATTTTATCAAATTTTTTAAAGGTGTCAATCGTGTCGGATTGTATTATTTTCGTGTCATGTCACTTTCAATATGTGTCGGATTCGTATCAATATTCGTGTTAGTAAAAAATTATTTAATTTGACAACAACTAATATAATATTATTTAAAAAATTATAAAATTCTTATTTTCTATCTACAATACTCGTTAAGTAATTATTTTCTATTTACAGTACCCATTAATCGTGTTATTTGTGTCGAACCTTAATTTGACTCATTTATTTCTCATGTCAACTAATCGTGTTATTTTCGGGTTTGTGTCGGGTTCGATTTGAGTCGGGTTCGTGTTAACGGAAAAAATTGACACACCTAAAATTTTTTATTTTAAATGATGTGACACAATCTCTATAATTAAATATTAACAGAACTCGTTTATCTAATTGTAAAAAATTGTGTCATATCATTTAGAATGAAAAATTGATAAGAAAATTTGGTAAGTATAGTATTATCCAGAAAAAATATATATTTGCTACCGTTCCACTTATTATTTTTCTGGGTATTTATATTATTTTTATATTAGAATTTATTAATTTTTGGAGTGCATTCAATTTTTTGATTCATTTATCTTTTTTTTTGTTCACTTTCCAATTTTGTGTAGAATTTATCACTTTTTGAAGGAGAATTTACTATCTTTTGGATTTTTTTTTGTTTTTTTTTTGATATATTACCAAAATTTTAATTTTCGATAACATAGTATTTTTTGGTCTTTTACTTAGATTAGATCCCCAAAAAATTTTATTGAATACATGCACAACAAACAACCTAATTATAATTCAAATCAGTTAGGCAAAAATTCTCTCGCAAAAATTTGTGCAAATTTTATCTCACATGTCAAAGAAGGTGGGGGGGGGGGGGGTTGGAAGGTTTTTAAAAGGGTAATCTTGGGTATGAGTAATTGAATATTAGGCCGAGTGTTTAATATGGTTAATATTATTAAAATTTTAAAAATTTGACATAATTTATTAATTTAATGATATAATTTTATTATAATTGTTAAATTAAAATTAAGTTTCAAATTTAAATGAGATTTATCGTCAATTCAATAACTATAATAAATTAAATCTCAATAACATAATTTATTTAATTTTTTGAAAAGTCAATAACATTAGTCGTTCAATATTTGAATTGGGTTGGGTTAATCGGATATACAAAACAAGAAGAGGACAAGACAACTGGCAATGAAAAGAATACGAAGACTCTAGTTTTCCACATCATTGACTCAAAATTTGTGCGTGATTCACACGCTAAAAGTGGATAAAGTTAAAACATATGCTACCGTTACCTACACTTTACTGTTCACTGAATGTAAGTTTCCACCTCCCAAAAAAAAAAAAATTTATTATAGCTCACCTTTTTTTTTTTTTCCGGTTAAAATGAATATATATAGATGATTTCAAATATTCCAATAGACAATATTGTCTTTTTTGCATCAATCTCACCGCATCAAATGTAGGGAGGTTATATGTTATTTTTAATTGGAAAAATTGTTAAAAATTATAAAATTGGTATTTAATTGGTAAATAAGTTCATACTTATATTTTTTAAGATGTATACTTTGTTTGGTACGGAGGATGAAAAGTAAGGAGGATCGAAAGTACGAGGAATATAATTTATATACTTCAAAGAAATAAAGTAGGAATGATACATTTTTTTTTCTTTGTGTTTGGTTAGATGGGTGGAAAATAAAAATGACTAATTTTTTTTTTTTTTTGTAGCCTAAGATTAGAGATGACAATTGAGTCGTGTTGTGACAGATTCATATTGAGTCATTACGGGTTTGTGTCGAACATTAGTCAAACTTAACTCAACTCATTTAACTAATTGTGTTGTGTCGAATTGCGAGTTGACCTGTTTATTTTCGTGTCGTATTCGTATTTGTATTCGTGTTGATCTATTTTTAATTAAAAAATAAATCCATATTTTTAATTAAGATGGAAAAAATATTTTTTTTTTAAAATATATATTTTATCATTGTATATTTATATAAAATTAATGTATACATAATATATGTATATATCAAAAGATATATACATAAATAAGATACATCTTAATACAAATAATTAACTTTTCATTTATTTTCCTTCTGATTTTGAAGGAATTGATTTTGGTGAGTTAGAAGGAAAATTAATTCATCCACTTTTTCATCCTTCTTATTTTCCTTCCTTATCAAACATGATATTTTATTTATCTCTTCAACTTTCTATCCTTCTAACTTTTTATCTTTTCATTTTTTCATTATACCAAATGGAACAATAAAGCCAACTCAATTGAACTTTTAAGATGAAAGGTCTAAACTAAGTTTTTTTTTTCTTTTTTTTAATATGATAATATTACTCCTTGTGCCTTGCATTTTGTCCAACCAAGAGTCATTCAACACAGCTTTACAGTCTTTCTCGTCGAGACGATTCAATCTGAGTCCAAAGACTCCAAACCTTAGCTGCTGCTGCCGTCGCCGCCACCACTACCACCACCTAATTATTCTCTTCTCTCTCTATTGCATAACCCTTCATTGTGAACATATTGATCCATCAAGAATAAGAGTACTTGGTGTTTGCGTTTAATGATGTGATAACCCTTCAATTTTGGGGCTTGATGATGTGATCGATCAATTTCCCCATTACGATAGTTTCATGACAATTTACGATAAAGTTCTTCAGAGCTCAACAATGGAGTCATTGGCACAGTGAAAGAGTTGTTTGATCTTCCCACAGAAATTAAAGTACATAACATTTGTGAAAAAACTTTATGTTTGGCAATTGCCTCCTATTCCAATCCATGAGAGCTTGGGGATTGAAAATGCAACTTTTGTTTATTTGTCGAGTTATAGTCGTTGGGGACAAGAGAAATATGTTGTCCTATCAAAATTGGAGGATCAGAGATCAGAGTTGTAGCTTGGAATTGAGTTGTTAATGTGGTTTTTCTTTGTTGAAGAAAGAGTTACATTGGTTTATATCTCTATAGTACTCCCTCCTAGGTTTTTTTTTTTTATTAAACTAAAAGCCAATGGCTTATTCTATTCATAATATATAATAAAACACATTGATTTTTTTAATTCATTGTCATTGAGCTCATTGTCGATCGAGAGTGGGTGGGTGGTGGGATATGGTGGAATTTTTAAGTAACATCATTCATTAAGAATATTTTTGTCAATTGGGTATTTTATAATCCTTTCGCCTTAAAAATGTCAAAAATAGATCTTTCACTCTAAAAATGCATGGCTTTGTACGTATCGCCTAATTTCTCTTTTTTATTTATAGGGAGGTTATGTTCAAATGGGATAAAACCATAAGAGAATAAAATGAAGTTTGCCCTTAATTTCTTTAAATGGGATTTCTCATTTAAAGGCTTCTATTTATTTTGAATACCATTTGGAATGCAAAATATTTCTCTTTTTAAGGTCCATCGCTCACTACGAACACTAAAGAGTGAGTTTAACTATAAATGATTTTTACTTCGTGATAGATATTGATATCTTCACTTGTGATTTAATGACCAAAATGATTTTCTAGAACAAAAACTTAATCACCCCCTACCCCCAACCCCCACCTCCACCTCCACCACCGGTCCACTTTTACATATGGTATGATGATTTCTCTTCTTTTTTGAAATTATTTTCATTTTTTTTAAAAATCTGTTATTCTTTTTTGTTAAATGTGTAAAAATTGCTATCAATACAATACCGAAAATTGATCAACAACCTTAGATTTTAGTTTAAATAATTAAAATATAATAAAATTCCATACATAAACCATTCGTATTAAAAAAGTTATAATATTAAAAACATATTTGTTTTTTCGGCACTATATATTTGCTATTTCAGGCGTGATAATTGGGGTGTAAATGGGAAGCATGTGAAAACAAGGACCAGCGGTGGGTAGCATGGCCCACTCTATTTATTAAAAAAATATTAGTTATGACGTTTTATTCTTAGGTGATATTGTTTTGTAATAAAAATATAACAAATAAATATATAAATTTTATATATTTTAGTGATCATTTTGTTATGTTATTCTAGTAAGGATTATATTATTTATTTATAAATTTATTATTAAATAGTCATGTGTTAATAATGTTCATTAAACACAATATTTACTCCTCTCTAGGCCGTACGATCCTTGATGTCAGATCACAATCTGGCCGAGACCTCGTTTAATGCTTTCATTTTATTTTTTTAATTCTTGTTTTAAATTTTCTTCCGCCGACAATATCGACGCATTTATGGAAGGACGACCGGTGCTCGTTTACCCGCACAACATTTACCGGGGGAAAAAAACAAAAGCAATGCTATATAATTTTTTTTTTTTTTGAATAGGCAATGCCACATAAATTAAAAAATTAGACTTAATAATCATAATTATTGAGTAGATCGTAGGCCTCAATCAAGAGCAATGTTATTGTAACCTAATTTGTTGATCTAATTCACTATGACCTTTAGATTGGCTGTGAGGGCCATCAAACATTGAAACTTGATGTTGACCCAATGATTCTCCTGAAACCACATTATTATGTCAACAAATTAGATCAAATTTTTAGGTCCAAATAGTATATTACTCTTCAATAAATATTGAGACTCATAATAAAATCAATGATTATAATAATCACAACCATTGAATAGGTAGTGAGTTTCAATAAATGCTGAAACCACAGTAAAATCAATGACTGTAGTTATCAAGTCTAATTTT